TGTGCGTGTGTGCGTGTGTGCGTGTGTGTGTATGAGGGGAGGAGTTGTAAATGTGTTAGAGTGTGGGTGGAGTTGTAGGGACATGTACTGTAGAAACGCGTATATATGTGGGCAGAGCAGTGAGCGCATATGCAGAGGCTAAAGCCAACGATCATCTATTGATAACTCGTCGTGTTGTATCACAATTTGCGTAGTGTTGCGTATTGTTGTGTTGTGTTGTGTTGTGTTGTGTTGTGTTGTGTTGTGTTGTGTTGTGTTGTGTTGTGTTGTGTTGTGTTGTGTTGTGTTGTGTTGTGTTGTGTTTTGTTGTGTTGTGTAGCCTAGTGTAGTGTTGAATTGTATGGTATTGTATTGTTACATTTTCTCACACACTCTGTATCGTAGTATCGCGCTTCTTATCCATGTACGCCCTATGTATACCCACACATCTACCACACCCACAGCCGCCCCAGAAGAAGAATAGCGTTGACCCTGAGGGTGACTTTGAGGGTGACCCCATGGACGTGGCAGGACACGTTTCTAACGAAGTCCTGGAGTGGGAGGTTAACAACTGTGCCAAGGCTATCGCTGCAGCCAAGGCCAAGGGGCAGGAACCAGGTATGTGGTGTATTGTGTGTAGGTGTTGATACAGGGCACATAAATGTGATATATGGTATATTGTATATGGGTGTCATATAGTTATAGTGAGTATGTACTCATTTCAATGACATAATGTAGAAGTGATAATATATAACACATTTATGAAAAATGTTATGATATGTATAGGTGCTGTATATTTATTTGATTATGTATGTAGTTTCTCCGTCGATATATGGTAGAAGTGTTATTATATAACACAGTAATGTAATATATATTATTTTATGTATAGTTGTTGTATAGTAAATTTAAGTAAGTATGTAGTAATTCCGACGATATGCTCGAGTGGAATGTATGCGAATGTGTACAAGGCAAACAGTAATCGGGTATGTATAGGTACACTGAGATAGGTGTGAGTTTATATCAGGTGGGTATAAGCGCACTGACATAGGGGTGTATATAGAGGTGTACGAATATAAAGCATGTGTGGAATACGAAGAGAAGGTCGAATGGGAAGTAAGCAACTGTACGAACGCTATCGCTGGGGCCTCTGGGACTAGATTTGAGCCAAATACGTAACGTTGCACGGAGAAAGGATACAAATCAGTTGAACGTTTTAGTATGTATTAATAGTGCACGGAGAAGTATAAGACAAACCAGTTGAACGTTTTGATATGTAGCCCATCAAGAGTGCCTGGGTGGCTGCATACGTTTTAAATGGCATATGTTCCGTTTTAGTCGTACAGAAACATTGTCAAACAAGTAACATGGACAAATAAGTGCACAAGGGTTATATATCTTAGCCCGTGCGTACATACGGTCAACCTGTTACGCGACTGTGCGCAATGCAATGTTTAGTCCAGAGGCCACGATATCCCTGTAAGGCTATCAGACGCTCATTCTACCTACTCACCAGTTCTGTTGGTTGGTGTGTTATGCAGATGTTAGTAGAGTCTGTGCCAGGTATCTAATTGTGCGGGTGCTAATATTGTCTGATACACACAGTTGGGTTGTTAAACCCCTAAAACCCTAAAACCCTAAAACTCTTATGAAAAAGTCTCCGTCATCCAACTGAACAAACATAGTCACTGAGGCACGACAGAACAAACGACAGAGAAGAACTAATCACTATACACACCCGCAAAGACTACCTACGCTACTCACACCACTCATGCCACAAAGACTACCTACGCTACTCACACCACTCATGCCACAAAGACTACCTACGCTACTCACACCACTCACGCCACAAAGACTACCTACGCTACTCACACCCCTCATCCCACAAAGACTACCTACGCGCGCCCACCTGATGCCAACCATTTATCCGTCGCAGACAACGATATACTTCAGAAGAAACAGACGGCTGAGGTGATGATGCAAGTGCTGATCATTCAAATCCAGACGGAGAAGCTGTCGCTCGAGGACTACTGCGCACAGGTTAAGACGAAGATTGTGGCGGAGAAGAAGCTAGCAGCCAAGCTCAAAGCAAAGGGAAAAATCGAATGGTAGGCTCAAGCCTCGCACGGCAGTTGTGTGTGGGTTGTGTGTATGTGTTGTGTGTGGGCGAGTGTATGTGTTGTGTGTGGGCGAGTGTATGTGTTGTGTGTATGTGTTGTGTGTGTAGTATCACTTGAGAAGAAGCTAGCAGCCAAGCTCAAAGCAAAGGGCAAAATCGAATAATAGGCCCAAGCCTCGCACGGCAGTTGTGTGTGGGTTGTGTGTATGTGTTGTGTGTGGGCGGGTGTATGTGTTGTGTGTATGTGTTGTGTGTATGTGTTGTGTGTATGTGTTGTGTGTGTAGTATCACTTGAGAAGAAAAGCAAAGGGCAAAATCGAATGGTAGGCCCAAGCCTCGCACGGCAGTTGTGTGTGGGTTGTGTGTGTAGTATCGCTCGATGCAATGCGCACATTGCATGGCGCTTTGCAATGTGTAGTGCAACTGATTCAATCCGTACGAAGCTCAGCGGTTCGGGGGGGGGGGGGGGGGGGGTGTTTGTGTTCAACTGCAAGCGTGACTTTGTGTGGGCGTATGGCGTGACTTTGTGTGGCGTATGCGCATGTGCAGAGTGTTCGTCGACCCAGAAAACACCTTAGGAGAAATATATAATGTTTATGGACAAGTGTCTTGACTATATTCTCATGTAGCGTCAACCTTCTTTCCGAGCATCTCCAATTGCTGCTGCTATTTTTTTTAAGTGCATTCTCATCAGCAGCACTCGCGTCACTTTCAGCTGTGCTGTGGGACTATCTACTGCGCTGTCACACTAACTAGTTATCTACTCGAAATCATTTATAAGAGTTACTTCGTTCTAAGTTGCATCTGATCAACGACAAGAGTGACTTCGTTCTAAGCTGCATCTGATCAACGACAAGAGTGACTTCGTTCTGCTGCATCTCATCAACGACAAGTGTGAATTTTCTAACTCACTTCTCACTGGTCAATTCTACTGTTCAGGGCCAAAGCCGCCCTCATGCGTGCGAAAATCATGGAGAAGGAAATGGAAGAATAAATAAAATACAATTAACTAGTGCTTTTTTGATTCATTGTATTAACTAGTGCTTTTTTGATTCAATGTATTTTCTATTCATCATTGTAACTAGTCAATAGTCGAGCCTTCTTGATTCAAAAGTAATTTTTAGTAATAATAGAGTATGTGCTACATACTACAATACAATCAATATTAGTTGTAGAGGGCAATACAATGTTAGTTGTAGAGTTGTAGAGTTGATTCAATTTATTTTTATTAATATTGTGAGTATGTGCTACATGCTACAAATTGGTTGTAGTGTCTCCTATCAATCATTCAAACTAGACAATAGTCGAGTCTACTTGATTCAATGTAAATAAATTAATATTGTGAGTATGTGCTACATATGAACTGCATTACAATACAATATTAGTTGTAGAGTGAGCCTGTCAAATAATTATCCTTTCGTTGTTATTGCAGTAAAATGGCTCGCAAAGTTGTGCATCAACTTTAACGTCTCGCCATGAACACATTTGACATCTTGATTGCAGTAGGTACCGTTACCGTCTGAGTGATACAAAGCGAAAGTGTATGTTACTTAAAAAACAAAAGCTGCACGTCAGAATAATACAGAGTACGTGCACAAACAACCATGAGCCCGCACAACATTCGCATCATTTAAAGTCTTGATCGAACCCGAGCCATATCAAAATGAAACACAAAAGTTCACCTGCACCAGCTGTTAGTGTGTACTGTTTTGAAACAATTCACAACTACATACATGTACGCACGTTCAAGGACTTCTCGCAGTCACACACATATTCAGGTAAACACAAATATACTAGCATTGCACACAAATGCATGCAATAATAGAGAAAATATCTGATGATTTCTTCGCGTTAAGGGTGGTGCTAATAAGCACCAGGTGGGATGGTATGGTAAGACTCGGCGATACATTTATCGATTGGAGGTGTACTTGGTAACGGCCTTAGTTCCCTCAGAGACGGCGTGCTTAGCCAACTCTCCGGGTAGCAACAAACGCACAGCTGTCTGAATCTCTCTGGAAGAAATGGTAGACTTCTTGTTATACTTGGCAAGCTTGGAAGCCTCGCCAGCTACACGCTCAAACACGTCAATAACGAACGAGTTCATGATAGACATGGCCTTCGATGAGATACCGGTATCGGGGTGGACCTGCTTCAACACCTTGTAGATGTAGATGGCGTAAGATTCAGTACGTTTCTTCTTGCGCTTGCCTCCGACCGACTTCTTGCCGGACTTCTTGGAGGCGGGGGCTGCGGCGCCACCTGTGGCTACTTTGGGAGGCATGATGCGATAGTGATTTTATGAGTTTGTATTCAAACACGAATGACCTCCAACACAGAAGCTTTTCGCTTTATATACGAATCCGGGTCACAAAATGGCCAGGAGATTTTCCCGCCGTTACAGTTATGAGCTTTAGAAGCCAATAAAATTCAAGTACACCAGAATTTCGAGCCTAAACGGCCGTTCGAGTTTTACCAACAGTCAGAATTTGACCGTTGGTGCTACAGATTGGCACGAATTCGGTTTTTGATACTGAATTGGTACGTATATTCCTATTTTCGAGTCGGTTGGCGGTACGTTTTTCAATTTGGGACTTCGGATTTTCAGAGCAGTATCTGCCGGTCTGTTATACCGTGTCCACTAATAGTAATCCGCAGAAGTATATAATTTTAGATGGGGTACGAATCAGTCCAAACGTATAAATAGGTCAACCGTTGCTGGTTCAGAAATCATACTGTCTACCTTCAAACGTAAACACATACTCAACTGTTATCATGACTGGACGCGGAAAGGGAGGAAAGGGACTGGGAAAGGGAGGAGCCAAGCGTCACCGTAAGATTTTACGTGATAACATCCAGGGGATTACCAAGCCCGCCATCCGTCGTCTGGCTCGCCGTGGTGGTGTCAAGCGTATCTCTGGTCTTATCTACGAAGAGACCCGTGGTGTGTTAAAGGTCTTCCTTGAGAACATCATCCGTGACGCCGTTACCTACACCGAGCACGCTAAGCGCAAGACTGTGACCGCCATGGACGTTGTGTACGCACTCAAACGCCAGGGCCGCACTCTGTACGGTTTCGGAGGTTAAATGGATACTATTCCGTGACCACTGTTGCTGTTTACAACTCGAAATTCAAACAACAAAACTGGTGCATATTTGCACCACCCTTACATACAAAGAAATCATCTTGTCCACACTTAAAAAGCGTATTTGAATGTTTGTACTCCATTTTTGCTTGCGTTTTTTAATTTGGTGTTAAATATGGTGTTCCCCAGAGCGAAGTGTTTGAGTATGTCTTACGTGTGGTATCCATTGCCGTTCTTGCACGCGAAATTAAATTCTAGCTATCGTACGCCAAAAGTAAAGTGTCGTCCATAGTCACCGCTGGTGTATACATACATGTATGTTGGATATTAAACGATGTGATTATCTGTCGAATTCCATACACCGCGATTGCGCGAGCACGGGGGTTTATATTGGCAGGATTAAGCTGTATTTATCTGTTCGTAGCTTGTGTGCGTTAGAATTTAGCATTACAACGATTGTACCTATCTGTGTGTTAAAATTTGGCATTACAACGATTTTATATATCTAAGCGTCGCTTGTACTTATCTGTGCGTTAGAATTTAGCAGTACAACGATTGTACATATCTGTGCGTTAGATATTAGCACGTCAGATACGATGCTACAGAAAACAAATAATAAATGGCCAGGATTAAGCTCAAAACATAGTAGTACGCAACAATTTTAAAATCTACTGCTTTTTAAAATATTCAAGTAGTGTGAATTTAAAGCACTTTGTCCTTGAAGCAAAGCCGTTTATCTTATACTACCTATAACAGCAAAGCGACTATAAACCAAAGATTTCCCAAATCTCGATAGTCGTTACTGTATAAATCTTTGTATCAGTATTCTAAATGATATCCACTTCTAAATACATGAAGTTTTAGCCGTAGTAAGCGCTAAACACAAGTATAAAGCATACGCGTGCTGAATGTTCAATGTGTTCTATACTTGCACCTGGATGGGTCAGTTGGTAAAGTTAGTTTTATATCGCACAATATCAATATTGAAAGCTATTACATATCAGCTGACTTGGTTGGTATGAATACAACCTGCATCATAATTCACGGTCCAATTAGGTCTAAAAGTCCGGGAGCACAGTATAACACAACCGATTAAAAAATAGTACCAGAGAAGTGATTCGATATTTTCCAGAAACAACTCACTGATTAATTCATTGTTAGACTGATTAGATATGCGAAACGGTACTAACATATTGACTCTTATGTACAAATATATTTGATTTCAAAGATTTGCTAATAAGTATTCATCATAGTACTTGTAAAACAAGATGTGAACTCTTGTTCTAATACTTGTGAATAGTAGGGATTTGTAAGGAATTCAAAAACGGTTATTGATGGTATCGAAAAAGGTAATAATTAAAGATGATTTAGTAATATATATGTATATAT